TATATTTTCGGTTTTCTAAAAGATTTCTATATAGTACATATAATAAAAAAATATACAAACTATTCCTTCCTTCTACACCATTATTGTTAACTATTTTTCTCAATTTTTTTTTGCTCAACAAATGAGATTTTGTTAGTATAGTGGTAGTTAATTGCTTATAACTTTGACCGGTGAAGTGTAATATAAAAGTTGTTGGATTAAAATAGATTAAATGAATATGTTGTAGGGCAAGGTGAGACCTTCGAGTTTCTCTAATAATCTACTGCGTTTCATAAAGGAGATAATCTACCCGAGCTTTCAAAAAAAGTATTGTAAAACATATAAAAAAAGATCTTTAATCAATTGTGTAATGATCTACAAAATCAGAACACTCAGGACGTTTCTACCTCGAGCTTATGTTTCAACATAAGCATGGTTGTTGGTGATTTTCGGAGGTATAGTAATTTATCTACATAGTAGATTATGAAAATATTATAATTTTATAACCCTGGTATGTGTATATTTTCGCATATTTATACCTGAACCGCATAATTTACAGCATAATTCAAAAATTTTATCGCATAATTTCGCATAAATCGAAAAGTAATGCATGCAGAATTTGGGGTTTGTTGCCGCAGAAAATGATGAGCCCTAACCCCAACTAGAGAACTTACTTACGTAATCTTCTATAACCTAGACCTTCTATGATACTACTGTCACACATAGTGCTTGCATTTCATGATCGGGGCTCCTTCTGGAAATTCCTATTCCAGAACCGTACTTGCACTTAGACTTTCCACAGGGTTTGTATCTGATTATAGCTCTATAAGGTTATAGTAACAAATTCAAAATTTGCTACCAGCCTGACTCGAACCGTTGACCTTGTCTGTAGGGTTTGGGAGCTTAACCAATAAGCTACAGGGCCCAAACCCCTAATTATTATTTTTAAATAATAAAATATATTTTTTTAAATAGAAATTAGTTTTAGAATAATCTTTTAATATATTACAAATTATTTTTATATCATGTAAAATATCTAATTAAAATAAAGTTGTATAATATTAAATATAATATATAATTATATATTTTTATAAGGAAATTTCTAATTTACACCACAAGTGATTATCACCTGTAGTAAAATTATTTTAAAATTTTGCTTATAAACCTATTTTTTAGGCTCTAAGTAAAAAATTCCTTGTAAAATTTTACTATAAATCTTACTAAACTCTAACTCTAATATGAGCCCTGACCCTTACCCTAAAGTTCTCCAAAAAATATTTTTTATTTATTAAATTGTTTATTTATTTGTTTATGTTACATAAAATTATATATTGTAAATCACAGGTAATCATCACCTGTAGTGTTTATTAGTTATTTTCTTTTTATAAAAATATTTTAAGCTAAATTAACATTTCAGATCTTAGATATTTTTATAAAAATATTTTAAATAATTAAAGCTAAATTAATATTTCAAATCTAGATATTTTTTATAAAAATATTTTAAGTAATTCAAGCTAAAATTAATAATTTAAATTTTAAATATTTTTTAAAAAAACTATAAATAATCAAAACATATATAGTCTGCTTTCTATATAGTTATTCTTTATATAATTATACTCTCTTTATAAGTACACTAATATTTAGAACAAATATATACTAAACATAAGATATTTGACCTCTATATAAGTATAATTTTTTATAAGTACAAGATTTCTTGAAACTGAGAATATGCCTATAGAGAGGTTTGATTATATTACTACTTTAGATACTCTTCATTTTTTAAAATAAAAATTAATTCACATTAAAATTATATATGGTACAGAATATCTATACTCAACAGTTATATATAAAATTGTATTTCAAAAGTTACAATATATATATTTTTATATAAATTTTAATAAATCAGATTTTATATAATTTTTATATAAAGTACTATTACAAAAATTTAACCTGCATTATTATACTATTTAATTTAATGTATGATCTGAATTTTAACTTTTCAAATAGCCAAAAATTTGATCACAGAAGCCATATATCATATAATCAAAATTACAATTATATAAAATTCAATCTACTAAATTTTACAAAAATGATATAAAATTATGATAGTTTTATAACTTTAGTTCTATAAAGTATCACAATTTTTTAAATGTTATAATTTTTTATTCAAGTTTTTAAAAAATCTAAACAATACCTTTATAGAGCTATGTTAATTTTAAAAATCTTATTATTGTAAAAATTTTAATGATTTGAAAATTGAAATTTTTATATATAAATTATAAATTTATATATAAAATTTCAATTTTAAATTGCAAAAACTTTTGCAGTAATAAGATTTTAAAGAATATTTGGCACATATGTAGAGCTAATATAGCCCTATAAAGTTACCAGTAAGATTTTTTAAAACTTCTTAGATAAAGGTTATGGCCATTTAAAAAATTGAAACACTTTGTGTACCTGTTTCTGCATAATATAATGCGGGCCAAAATTTTGTCGATCACGTCCATTGGTCAATCAAGGTCGCTCATTTTTGTGCAGTGACCGTCTTTACATTTACCACATTTTAGTTTTTATGCACCTCAGAATTATGTCAGTTTATTTATTTGCGCGAGTAACACAAACCAAAAAGGAAATCGAATTTTGTAAATAAACTAAGTGCGTAAAGATAGAAGTTTAGGGCGTTAACATTAGAGGCTTTAACAATAGATTGTTGCTCATTATATGTAACATTTCGTTTCCGAAATTTTTAATTAGTGCACCAAGGTTGATTTAAACATTAGTTTTTGAGTATTTTCGCTTTCGCACGTGTTCGAAATTCATGCTGATCCGGAACAGTCAAATTTTGTGCACTCCGATTGGCCGTTTCCTTTCTAGGTGTTTGTATTACTCGCGTGTTTTGTCTCAGAACTATATCTATATTGTATTTTCACAATGCATAAGATTTTTATTCGAGATCTACGTAAAAAATACTAATATAGTAAACAAACTTAGAACAATACCACGGGATTTAATATGTCCATATTAATATGAAGAGATATGAAGATCTTTATTATATAAGACTTTTCGTTTTGTTAATCATCTCAGTTCAACCCTTCAGAATGGTAGCACTACCAAACGAGTGCCTTTCAGAAATATTTATAAATTTTCCTGATGATATTTATTATAGAAAAAATTTATTTTCATGCCTTCTTGTAAATCGCCAGTGGTGTAGAAATATTGTACCAATACTATGGGAAGGAGTATTGCAATCAGCAATTAAACCATCACAAATTAATATATTCCTTTCTTTGTTAAATTCAGAAGAACAAATGTTATTATCTACATTTGAAACAATCCTTCCTGCTACACCGAAACCATTATTTAATTATTCCTCTTATATTACAATTCTCAAAACTTCTCATCTAAAAGAGGGAATAATATCGTGGCTTAATTCTATTGATTATCTACTTTCTCCAAATCCATTTGCACATTCTTTAATCTCTATGTTCATACGAACAAGTAAGAATCTCAAAGCATTAGTGATTCCTGATGATAATGAACTTGCATTGTTTCCGCCAACAGCAATGTTTGCAAATTATAAACCTGGATTATCTCAATTAGTTAGATTGGAATGTAGTATTTATGCACAAAGTAATATTAGCGTTTCAATCACAGAATTTTTAAAGGCTATATCTACGATATGCACCAATATTAGAAAAATTTATTTATCATTCATATCCAGTAATCCGAGTGAAGAATTAATTACATCTTATTCAAACATAATCAAAACTCAAAAGAAATTAAGAATTCTTCGTTTTAGTCAAGTGTTGGGAAACACAGGAAAATTAATTACGGCCTTAGAGCAAAAACTTTTCTTAGAACATCTTGAATTCTCCAATGTAGATTTTTCAACTATATCACCTTCGGATATAAAAGTACTCGCACAGTGTAAAAATTTGAGAACGTTAAGATTTATAAATTGTAGAGGGATGACATTGGAACATTGTACTTCATTATTAAATTATCCATTAGAAAATTTGAGAGAACTTAAACTTTTAAGTGGAAGTTTTGATTCAAATATTGTAAACTTTTTGGTTGAGACGTGGGGTTCAACTTTAGAAAAATTGCATTTGGATCGGATTCAAACACAAGTACTATCAAATATATTCATAAATCATTGTTCAAACCTTAAATATTTGCGCGTTAACGTCAAAGATGGAGATGAATTTTTGTTACCATTTCTTAGTCAATCTTCTCTCCTATATTTGACTATGATATCATATTATACTACAAGTTTTTCATACGAATTGGGTCGAAATTTACCAACCAGTTTAAAATGTTTAGAATTAAAAAAGTTTTATTTAGCTCCAGAAAGTTTTGACAAATTTTTGAAAAATTGCAAACATTTGGTTAAATTAGAAAAGCTTATCATCGGAACTTCTTCACCATTGGTGGATCACTATACAAGTCTTAGAGAATTCATTAAATCTTGTAAAAATTTAAAAATAATTACATTTTATTATAGAGATTTCTTTATAAATGATTCGGTGGAGGAAAGGATTAAAGCCGTTGTTAAAGAAATTACAAATCTTGGTGTTGCCTGTATGTATTATGGTTATGAAGATAGGTCTGATGATTATTGAATTTATATTTTTAGGTTATTTGTTTAAATTGTTTTTTAAATTAAATAAAATTTGTATTATTATTCGTTCTAGATATTTGATAAATAATAAAAAATAATGTTGTGTTAAAAACAAAACAGCTAACCGAATAATCTCATTATTATTCATTTATGTCAACAATAAATGTAACAATTGAATCTACGACGAAATTCGGATGCCAATTTGAATATGTGTGCATAAAAATCGATCTAAAATTGGTTGTGTCAGAATGAAACTCGATCCTAGAATGCATCAAATCTGATTGAGTTATGAATAAAGAACTTAATAATCAAATAATCAAACAATTGGTGTATTTCGTGCAGAATAATAATGGTTAGAGTTTTCACACAACCTTTTATTCCAAATGCATTGAAAATAAAGTAAAAGCACTAACTGAACAAAATTACGAAACATTAAAAGTTCTTTTTTTATCTCATGAATATCATAACGCATACATCTACTGTAAATCCACTTTTCGTTATCGTTTAAGAGATCATATTTTAAAGATATATCCAACAAATAAGTTACTACTATTGCTATATACTTCGGATTATAAATCAGGGGCTTTTTGACATCGGTGGTCTTAACAGCTATAATTTCCAATTCAATACGATCTTGAATCAACGATAAGCTTAGTCGAAAGAGGCGGTTAGATTTGGCGAGTCGGGTTGGTTCTTCTGGTAAGTATCTTTTTGTTGAGTCTGTTCTTACTTAACACTTAATATACAAATTAAACTTTCTGATACTTAAACCACGACCGATTCGGTACGTTGAATGGCCGGAACAATCGTGTGAGGTAATATACTGCTTTTTTCAATAACTACGGCTTTACCTATACATGTGTGCCTAAATTAGGGGATTTACGCATTACGGCATGCCTATATTTTTTATATTTTCGGCTGGCCTAATTATTTTTGTCTGCATGCGACCAATATTTCGTACCATCATGTGTTACTTACAAGAAAATTAATAATCTGATTATCATAGGAAGCATAACTTAATGTGATTACATATAAATTTAAACTTACAGCCAAATTGTTATTATAGAGATAACGCAATGAACATTTTAATAATAAAGTTCACTTAAACATGAAAATTATCATTCTTAATTGAGTATTATAATATGAATCCTTAAACAGGAGGAAACGTTGATGTTACACGACTGATCTTTCACCCGGTGTATATCAAAAAAAATTATTTTACAATACCAGATCATCCCGCTAGTACATGTTATGATTATAATCCCACACCATTTTATTATAATAAAAATGGTGTGGAATTATAATCATAACATGTACTAGCGGGATGATCTGGTATTGTAAAATAATTTTTTATATGTTGCACACCGGGTGAAGGATCAGTCCTTATTACCGTATCGTGTTTTTCAAATTACTGTGATCGCACGAAAATTTTAAAATTTCCTTAAATTCATCATTTTTTTAAAAAATTATCACACAAAAAGTCACAATTTCAAAGATTTCTTGTCAAATTCCAATTCTTTAGTATAACATCAATTAATGTACTAGATCTTGCTTTGTTTAGCCAAGTGGTTATAAAATTTCCAGTTTTTTTTTTTTTAATTTTTCCTTGTGTTTTTAGATCGCTAGTGTTGAAAATTAAAATTGTTTCAAATTTATAAATAAATAAGGTAGCTGCGAGATGCCATCGCACTAAAAGCTAGGAACGTAAACAACAATATTCTAAGAATGGAATGATATTAAAAATTTAACGAAGTGTATGCAAATTAAGTGGTGTGTCCGCACAATCCTGCATTTTATTTGATAAAATATGTGGTAAAGTAGGGATGTGAATGCATATCAGGAATTTCACACGTAGTATCATCACAGGGCATATGTAATACTTTCTTCTGTATACAGGGAGTTTCTGCGCACGATTTGATCCACACCTGAATTCATATGAATCCATATCTGTTCCACAATTAAGTTTTAAAATTCTTATATACAAATGTTGAAACAAATGATAGTAAAAGCATGATTTTCAGACATAAATATTCACGGGATATTTCTATTTATTGATTAGAGTTTGGAAAAAGAACTCTATCACTGATTATAAAAGAAGGATTACATTTCGTTAGTGCCCACGACCTGATTGATACATAAGTATTTCTCCAATTATTTCAATAAGTATAGTGACAAGCTATTATGTTTACGTATCTTATTATTCGTATTGATTTAACCAATGCAGATAATTTCTTATTCAATTTCTTTATGTTGATCAATCGAATTATTCAAAGATAAGATTCAAAGATAAGTTAACACTTAATTTGTTTACATTCAATTTTTTTGTATTGATTTAATTGTTATTTCAGTTTGTTATTCAAAGGTAAGCTGACACTTATTTAATGACACCGAGGGAAAACAAAACTTAGTCCATATAATGGGTTTATTAATTTTCCCGCCACTTCTATTGGAGTATCATAATGTTGATTAATAAGGTAGATACTCCGATATATGAATAATTAGTAAAACCAATCAGAGTGGTAGAAGTGGTAGGAAAAATTAGTAAAACCCCATCGTACCTTACGTAAATAAGTTAGTCGTAACTAGGTATGGATGTAAATCATTTCGTTATGTGGATGTAGATCATTATTTCGGTATTTTTAGGATAACTTCTTTTGATTGGTCAATCACTTTAATTGTATTTATCGTTATACAGTTTAAAGCACTTTTTAAGAATGTAATATCCATAAGTAAAAAAATAAAAATTCAACCCGTCTCTATCTTCGAAGAAGTACTAACAGTTACTATGCAATTTCTATGTATCTTTAACTATAGAACTATGTAATTACTCGACCATTAAATCTAGCTGAGTTATGAAAAAAACTATTAGTACAAACTTTTTTTAAAAATAGATAAAGCGATTTATAAACCATAATAAAGAAGGTTTAAAACATAAAGAACCTTAATACATAAGTTATAATATATGAGTGTTTAAAACTTTTTATATGTTTACAGGCTCTAACGAGTCTTATCATAACGTGCTCTGGGTATAATAAACGATAGATCTTTAAACATTATATTAGTTCGATATTAAAGGTGCGGTAGGTATTTAAAAAATATTTTTGTTAAAGTGAAAAGCGATAAAGTTTATTGTAATGTAATTTGATTAGTTAGTTGCACATGATGCATGAATGGCTAATCATAACTCGTTATTCAATTTCATGTGATCAACCAATTTATGGAATTTATAATTTAGTGAATTGCTATTTTCACCCCCTATTTTTGCTAATGCTACCTTCCAGATATAAAAAAGTGCTCTGAAATTGATCTTAATAAAAGTTGTTTATTAGGCCTTTCCGGTTCTAATAGTAGTAAAATCATTACATTTGAACCAGCTTCTAAGATATTTATATCCAAAGTTAGTTAATTTTCATTTACTTTTTTTAAAAAAACTATCAGTTTGGTTTTAATGATTTTACTACTATTAGAACCAGAAAGGCCTGATAAACAGCTTTTATTAAGACAGAAGAAGGGTTTTCTTAATAACAATCTCTTCTAGAGCATTTTTTTAAATTTTAGAAGGTGGCATTAACAAAAATGGGGTGAAAATAGTAATTCACTAATTTTATTATAAGCAATTCCAAATCTACTTAAATTCTATTGCCACTTACAACATATATAATTTTCAAATTTTGGGCAAAGATTTCTCAATATTTGCCTAGGTTTTTCATGTTTAAAATTATTTTTGTATTCAATTAGCTTATATAATTTAAAATATCAAAATAGACAAAACATTGTTGAGATACTTTTGCTCAAGGTTTGTAAAGATTTAAGTGAATAAACTAAACCTTTTATCTAGTTATAAGATACTAATAAATGTCACACTATCAAAAAAATTAGCATTTTATTTTAAGTAGCAATTTGTATAATTATAGTAAATTTAAAGAAGTTTTGCAGATTTTTATATTATGTGTAGTTACAGCAATTTGAAATATATAATAACATATTATTGAATTTGTAATTTATTATAATTTGAATTCTTATAATTCAAAAAAAGTTTTAAAAAAATAAAATAAAATAAAAATAAAAATATGTAAAAAATAAATAAAATAAACTAATTTTAATCAGACAACTCTTTCTGATAATTATCAAAACACAAATTTTTATAGAAAAACAAAAACACAAAATTAACAGAACTCAAGAACAGCACCAAGAAGCAAGGCTTATATGACTAAGTTAAAAAGAAAAAAACACAAAACAATACTCTGTCTCTTAGGAAACTAGAGTTAAAAAGTCAAAACCTAGCAAGATATAGAAGAAAACTTGAAAATATAGCAGTTTTTCATTGTATATAAGTAATTTTTTGGGAAAAGCACTTGACCCTGAAGTGCAGATTTGTTTAAATAACACAACTATACAACACATAATAAAGAAAAACAATACAAACATATAAAACAGTACATAACAAATATAACAAGAAAAACAACAACAACAAAGAAGCTGAGTCATATGAAGTAAACTGAAAAAGAAATTTCTGAAAATAAATAAAAACTACAAATTGAAGCAGCAGCAAAATATGTACTAGAGAACCTATTAGAAGAAGTAGATAAAGAGGTTTTAGAAAAATATAAACAAAAATATAGGAAACAATATAGCAAAGATATAGAAGAAAAGTTGGAATACAAGTGTTGTAATCTTATTATGAAAAGCAAAATTAATACTATTTTGCCAGATATTACAAAACAAGATTTTTATGAGATAGATACTATAATGCACTATTTACTATTTATCAAGAAACAGCAAGAGGAAAGATTAGAAAAACAGTGTATAAAAATTTAAACAAATAGAAAAAACAAACAAATCAAGAAAAAACAAGAAAACAATATTAGATTTGGCCAAAGAATTCAAGTTCGAGATAAAAAAGATGCAAAAAAAATTGGCATGAAGAAAAAAATCAGAAATAGCTAACAAAAACAGAAACAAAAAAAATTATAGAAAATAATATAAAAAGCATTAAAATAA